AGTAGAACATAAACATAAGATTGTTTTAACAATGATATATCTACACCACATGATGAACCAATCAGTGCTCTGGTTAACAAACCAACCTAGACCAGACAGTAAAGTTGAAAAAGACCTAACAATAAGACAAAGCTTTACAATGGAGATATACAAGATTTTTAAATTTAGTATATAATTTTTACAACTATGCCTGGTACAGGCTATAATAGTGTTTTTATAGATTATTTTTTTTCTACCTTTTTTTTCTTGTTTTTTTTTCATTTTTTCATTTTCTTGTTGCTTAGACAGTTTTTTTTCTTTCTCCCTTTTATGTCATTCTTTTTTATCTTTAGTATTAGTATTTTTTTCATAAGTTAGTTAGAAACTATGAATTCTTCTACTTGTGAAGCTAGAGGAAGAAAGTTTAGAAAAGATAGCAGTTTTGATAGGCTGTAAATACTATTCAGTGATATATTAAAAATTTATTTGTAGGGTTTTTTGATATAGAGATAAACTTTACTATAGCAAATCAAACATGGGTGATTTGGGCACTTTGGTATCACAATGAGCCAGGTTAGCTAAAACTTGTAACTTAGGTAATGCTTTAGTTTACTTTAGCAAAAATGATATTTTACCTGTGAGTTAAATATTTTAGCCTAATAAAGTTAAAGCAAGATTGCCAAATTTATAAAAAAAAAAATAATAATAATCCTAATATAAAATAATTATAGAAAAGAAAAAGAACAAGAAAAGTAGTAAAAGAAAAAAAATAAAAATAAAAATAAAAAATAAAAATAAAAAAAAATAATAAAAAAACAAAGAAAAAATAATAATTTATATTATAAGAAAGAAACATATATATAGAAGTTAGAAAAAGAAAATGACAAGTTATAAAAGAAGTTAGAAGAAAAGAAAAAAAAAAGATAAGAAAAAAAAGGTTGTTAGATACTTTAGCAGAAGAAAGAAGAAATATAAAGTATTGTAAGAGGTAAAGTAAAGATTTAAAATAGGGTATAATGTTTTAAAAGATAATATAGATGAGTTGTTAGAGATAATACAGTAGATATAAGAATAAAGATAGGCAGAGATTAAAAGAGATATATAATATAGAGAATTGGGTAAAGAAGAAGAAAACAAAGAAGAAAAAGAAAATAATGATAATAATAATGATGATAATAATAATGAAGAAGATAAGATAGATAAGAATTAAAATAAATAAAATAAAATAAAATAATTAAAAACATAGTATATCTCTTTCTGATGATTACTCAAACCAATTTTCCCAACTAAAAAAAAATAAAAAACTCTGTTAGAGAGTTGAATAGACTACAGTAGTGGTTTTTAGAAAAGAGATTAACTTGTGCTAGAGACTTCCTACTATATTAGCATGCAAGCCAGAAGCCTAATTAAGAGGAAAAGGCAAGTGGCACTCTCAGCAAGTACTATAGATTCTAGTAGACAAAGATTCCATTAACAAAGCTCTGTAAACTATAGTTCTAAGAAGATTTTAGTAGTGGTTTTTAGAAGAACAAAGGTTAATCTAGGCTGGGGAAATTTACTCTATATTCAGCATACAAGCCAAAAGCAACAAAGAAAAAAAGGTAGACAGCACTCCAAACTGTAGCAAATTTTGGTAGAACAAAAGTTTTGTCAACGAAACTGCAAAGTCTTTTTTTAGAACTCAGGAGTACAACAGATTATATATTTTTCTTAAGCTGCACTCTTTTTATCTGGTTAAGTAGTTCATTTTTACTCTCTCTTATTCTCCTATTGGTTTTCTAAAAAATTTCAATAAAAAGTAAGAATTTGGTTTACCTTTTCAAAAGATTGGTATTGTTTATAGTTGATCTTTAGTAGAGGTGGCCACTATAGAAATATTATAAGATTATAATATATAAACATAGTATTTAGACTAATTTAAGCAAATTTGAGATTAGTTAGGGTTAGGGTAAGAGTTATAGTATAGTTTATAGTTAGCTTTAGAGTTAGAGTTAGAGTTTTTTTATATTATAATCTTATAATATTTCTATATTGGCCACCTATACTAAAGAAGATCTAATTTTTTTCTCTTGGTATATACTTTTAAAGTACATGTTCTTTTTTTTGATGTGACTTTGGTAGCCAAGTTGATAAATCTTTCTATTGTAAGATCTTGATATTCAATTCTTTTAGTTTGTCAATTCTTAATCTGATTCAATTTCAGAGCACTCTTATAATTCTTACTATTTCAAACTTGGATTTTGCTAAGTTGATTTTAAATTTTCAAGTCATTTCTATTAGTTTTTATTGCAGTTCTAGTTTTTTATATAACCTATATTACACAGATATTTCTAGAATCTTCCAGTATACTGATAGTACTAGTGTGCCAAAGTTACAAATGATAGAACCCAACTTATTAATAAAAATCTGTTATTATAACATAAGTATTTTGTTCAAATTGTCACTAGTAGGATTCATACTTGGTACTTTAGTTAAAGCTAGCTTGGGGGCGCAACAACTCCACCACTTTATTATATCACTATACTTTTATATAATTGTAATTATTTAAAAAAAAATTTTTTATTATATTATTTTTACTTTCTACATTCTTGCTACTTTTTTAAAATTTTCACAAAAGTGAATAAAATAGCTTACTTTCTTTAAAAGATTAGTATTATTTACTTCTTTTAAATTTGAATAGCTTTAGCAAACTGCAATTATATGACTAATTTGTTTTGTTTATAGGCTATATTGCTTTATATAGTATTAATTAATATTAGTAATTTATAACATATTCAAGATTAGATAATTTAGTTAGAAAATTAAATATTAAGGTAAAGCTTTACAATAGAGATATACAAATATTTATTTGTTATATAATTTTTTAAGCCTGGCATAAGTAATAATAATACTATAACTAGATGAAATTTTTTATTATTCTTTTTGTTTTTTTTTTTATTTCTTTTTTTTATTTTCTTTTATATTTGTATTTATATATATATATATATATTTTGTTTTTATTTTTTATTAATTATATTAGTTTTTTTTTATTTATTTATTTTTCTATTTTCTCTGCCTCTTTGAAAAAGAAAAAAATATTAAAAAAAAACAATCTTGGCAAAGCTAATAATAGGCTTTTAGTAATTTGATAAATATAAGTTTAGCAAGTTAGACTTCTGGAGATAAAAGTATTATTGTTGTAGCTGATCACACTTGGGCACCATTATGAGTAGCCAATAAGTCTTTATTGAAAAGTAAAAAGGTCAAAAACATCAAGATATTGCAGACTTCTTGTTCAAACACTTTGTATTGTAGTACACTCTCTTCTAGTACAATAAAATACAGGATTGCAGACCTGTAGGTCAATAGCATAGCGGTTATGCTTCCAGGTTACAAATCGTAAAGTTGCTGGTTCAATTCCTCCTAGTGGTGAAATAATGAAAAACCAAATATGGAAGTGAAATACCGCAGGGTACAGGGAACCCGGGATATCTACGGATAGATGTATTCGGGGAATAATTATTCTGAGAAGCTGTGGCTGTGAAGAAAAGCCATGCTAGTACCCCGATTTGGAATAACCGAAGTCACGAGATGTAATGTGAGGTCTAAAAAAGTATGAGAGGGTACTACATAAACTTGTGACACCACCCGATTGGCTCGTGAAATAGCAGTTCAAGGATAAGGTGTTTTGGCATCTCCGGAGTGTCGTGCAGGCGGTCAGACCTAGGCCCCAATGAGGGAACCGGGGAAATGTCAGACAATGGATACCAGGTGGATACACATGATACCCGTATGGGGTTATGGAGGTCCTGTGACATTAGTAGCATAGAGTCAACTATAATATAGCTGGACCAAAGTCATGACTAGACTTGCCGAAGAAATAATAATAATAAAAAAAAAAAAAAAACACAAGATTGCCAAAGTTTAAAAAAAATAAAAATAAAATTTTACTATTTATAAAAAATCAGCTAATAAATAACAATTCTTTAACTAAAAAGTTTTTTAAAAAAATCTTTCTATAATTATATTGTTTAAAACCTAAAGAATATAAATATAAAATGTTTTTTAAACAACCTTTTTATTGAAAAGTTATTGTAATTTAAAATTCTTTAATTTCATAATAAATTTAAAATTTAGCACTTTATTTTATTAATAAAGGTTAAAAATTTAGCGCTTGTATTATAAAAATATATAAAGAAATTTTTAATAAATTAATTAATATATAAATTTTTTCTCTTTTTATTTTTTTTTATTCAACCTCTTTTAAAATTTCGGCGCTATTAACTATTGTATAAAAAAAAAAATTCAGCATTCTTATATATAATCATATATATATCAGATTTCATCATTTTGATGTGATTAGATGTAAGCAAAAATTTTCAAAACCCTAACTCTAAACTATTATATAACCCTCCTATATCTGATATATCTTAAACTGCACCCTAACTCTAAAAATAAATAATCACCGCCGGTTAGTTGTAAAAATCATTAAAGATATAAATAATAATAATTTGAAAGTAGCAATAGCGTTATTTTGAGTTATGACCCGAATTAGGCTTAATTTAGCCAAAATTCGAAACTACTAACGTTAAAGCTATCCATATGATAATATGTTTGCGAGAGAAAAAGGTTAGAAAATGTCATTTTTGTATAGACCGCACTATAATTGAGATATCGATAATATCTAATATTGAATAGAATGGGATAAAATCGGATCGAATACGTAGAGTAGAAGACATCCATCTAGTTGTATATTATTCATTATGTAACAAAGTACACATTTACTACCCTTACAGACACTTTAATGATTGATAAAATTTTTTTCACTGGCAAAAATCTGCTACGTCTTTAATTTTGTAAGATAAAAAAGCATCAAAATGAAGGAACTAATAATAAGACAAATTGTGTACATATAGTTGAAATTTCAGATTGTTTAAAAAAACCATTATATACTTTTGTTTTTAATCTTCTTCAATATTCATATTATGCATGCCAAGATTCATGTCCTTTAAATTTGATACTACACCATAATTGATTATAAATTATATCCAAATGTTGTCTAATCTTAAGTCATTTGTTTGTTCTTTCCTTCTTATTTCATAGCAATACATGCTACCATCTGCATATGTCAAGTAAAGATTATAGAAATACAAAGAAGGATCTTGCAGATTATCATTTTTTACGACAAACATTCCTAAACAAATTGAATAAAATTAGCCATGAGAATATCCAAAAAAGTATATAAAGGATTTCTTACCTATCAATGGTGCGTTTGGTAAAGGAGTCTGGGGTATGAGTTTTTCGTCATGAAGAGAATAATGTTCAATCCCTCTAACACTAATCCCTCTTTAAAACGAAAGAACAAATAAAACAAGAGTTATGTTAAGTCTATTTTCATATTACTGTAGTATCATTGAATAACTTACTTGAGAAGTCGAACCAATGCAACCTTTCCTTTCTGACTTGCGACAATTGCGAGTGAGAGATCGGGGATCCACTGAATTACATTTATGAATAACATTCGACATGCCCGTATGTGCGATGGATATATGGAAAACAAAATAGATATGGATAACGTACCTCGATCATGTTTAATCGATCATTTGAATCCAAATGTCTCGCTCTTCTTGGATCACTCCGACATACGACGCTCAATAATGAACTCAGAATAGTCAAATCAGATTTAGGATCGAGAAGAAATAAATCATGTTGCGTGCCAAATAACACAAGGTCCTGAGAGATCTTAGGAACTCGTCCTTTCTGCGTTTTATGCATCTCCAAACGATTCACTCCACTCTTTATTCTCCGGTTCAAAGATTGTGATCGATGATTCTCCCACTGTTCATCTAAATGACTATGTTTAATTTTGAACAATGGTAAACAAATTATAAATTCTTTTATTAAAGTAAATTTATGATATAAAAATGTACAATAATAAAAACCTGTACAGTTGTGATGGCGGTTCATTTCCATATGAGTTATCAGGAAAATCATCAAAAAAATCTTGGGCTCTTGGACGTGCGTAAGTAGGATTATAGCTTGGAGATGTGGGTGTATATTGAGGCGACATTGGATCATAATGTGGTGATTCTGGAGTGTAGTTCGTATTAATCGGTGAATATTCTGGTGACATCGGAGAATAAACAGGAGATTCCGGTCTAATATGCTCAGAATTAAAGGACGACGATGAAAATGCTGCAGTTACTTGCTCCTGAGACGTGGGAATGTCATTAATCGATGGTGTTGGCTGTGGAGGTGAATAAGCTGTCGGTGGTGTATGCGATAAATTTTGTCCAAGACCATATGCTGTTGAAGAACTTGGTTCTAGCATATATTGAGGCGTCGCTGGTTATAATTATTTATGGATTTAAGCATTTCGAAAATTCTTTCATATAAATTGAAGCTTAATAATTCATACCTGGAGAATACGCTGGGGAATTGCTAGAGAAATAAACTTCCGGCAAAATTTGTTGAGCTATCGGGGCTGATGGAAAATGGCTGATGTAAACAATGGGTGACGGATATCTTGGTGAATATGTTGAAATGTTTCCATTCTCCGTGCGTTCGGATAATAGTATTTCATCTCCATTTTGAACGCTAGGATTATTACTATATATATCTCGAGTTTCGGCGCTTGGTGACCATTCTTCATCTGACATCTCATCCGGAATAGGGGTATGCGAGCCATGATCATGATCCGAATCATCTGACGATACACTTTCGTTATTATTATTCGATCTTTGGGCATCCGAATAGTTAGATTCATTTTCTTCGTCCTCAGTTTCAATTGTTTCGATTGCTCCATAATCATTATAAACTAAAGTTGTTATTTCTGTACTTTCGTCATATCCATCTTCATATTCAGTATCCAAAGGTAAAAATCTGATAGCAGGAGTTATAGGATGTAAATCTTCATCTCTTTCTGATTCTGATCCTGCATATACACGACCAATACGACTTCGTGATCGGTCATTAACATCTTTACGTGTACGAAAATTCCGTGACGTATTATTTGCATTCTTGAAATTTGATGTGGAAACAAAACATGCAGACCAGCCCCTGTTAGAATAAATTGAAATAAATTGGTAAAAATAATCATATACACCAGTATTAAATTAATGATTAGGATCTTTAATCTTACCATTCACTAGAAACTTCTTGAAAAACTATAGTTTGACCAGTATTAACGTTCCAAATTCGACATGATCTATCGATACTGCACGAAACCAAAAATTGGCCACAAGAACTAAACGATATATTAGGTACATTATGCCTATGACCACGAAGTGAATATTTTGGCCTGCAACTCATGTCCTGACTATCAGAGAATTTTGCTAATGGTTGTAATCCGTATTGGAGGTTGAAAATTGTGATTTCATGTGAATTAGCACTAACCGCCAATAGCCGCCTTGGACCATGAAGCGCTACACCCCACGTGGACTCATTATTTCTATAGGCAATAATATTTGGTATTAGACACATAATGATAATGCATTTGTTAAAAATCAATATCTTTACAATTGCTAAAAACCTCACTTGAAATGTAGCGGATTTTTTTCAAGGTTTGAGGTATACCAAACATGAATGTCGCCAGATTCGTCAACGCTAACAAGCACTTCCTCATACCCAATCTCGCCCACTTTAATAGCATTAATTATATGCTGCTAAAATATATCATGACTTAAAATTAAATAAATCCCTAACGGCCATATGCTTTAGTATAGTAATCATCCTTACCTCCTCATCATCATGAGAAGTTGGATCTATAGGACGGTTGAGTTTTTTGAATGGTTTTTTTGGTGTATCATCTTCGTCATTGTATGAGCTCAGCCGGTACGCGAAAATAGAATCATAAATAGCCACAAAAAAGATATCTTTAATCTTATTAGACACGGCTGTAAGATTCATTCTCTATAATCACATAGACGAAAATTGTTAATTACAAAAATAGTTAAAACGAAAACTAAAATAAAGTGATCTTTCTTACTAAAGGATAGCATCCTGTCACTGAAATCGGATGTCTTTCATATACGGTATGGACCTATTAAAAATTAGATGAATGCCATATTAATATAATGATAAAATTTAGACGATATGGAATTAAGTATTGAAATGATCAATACCAAAAGATCATGATATTCTTTCATATTGTTATCTCACTTAGTTAATCTCATGAAATAGTTTTAATTAGGTACCTTAATTAAGCTAATTTAGACAATTATGCCATTCACATTATCATCACTCACTTTATTTTATTTGGTGAAATATTTATATATATCGTCTCAGTTCAATTATACTTTCATTTTCCAAATATTTTAGCTAAAATTAATAACTATAATTAGCAAATAATTTAGGAGAAAATTTTTATTACTCCTAATTTAAACTAAAATTCTATACATACGTAAAGTATAAATCTCTGATACACTTGAAATTACTTTTGCCCATTAATCAAAATTTGAACATAAACCTACTTTTGTAAGGGCTAGTGTAAATTTCATCAAAACTACCAAACATAAACAGCTGTAGTAGTAGCTTACAGCACAAAATAATCTACCTTTGTGCGCGTTCACAACGAACGAGAAATTCACTTTTTTTCAAAAAAGTTAACATTTATATAATTTTTTAAGTTTGATCGGCGATCACACGATTTATCACAAAAACGGGTAATATCTGTAGTGTATGTTATCGAGATTTTATATTTTTGGTTTATTTTAGTAAAAATTTCTCATAGCGATATTTCTTCAGTCTGGAAGCATTTTTCAAGTATATAGTTCATAAGAAAAGTGAGAAAGTTGATAGTAGTAAATCTAGTATGATGGTTGGCTAGATTGTAGTCGATTTGGCATTAGCCGATCAACTAGGTCAGTCGATTTTAATTATGCAGTAATAATTTTGGAAATTGTTTTATGATATTAAATATTTTTGTTAGTAAAATTATCCAGAGTGAACTAGTAAATTAAAATATATTGTCAAAAGATTTTATATATATATATAATATTAGCTATTTAAACCAATTAATTAGAATTGAGATCCATTACATCATAAATGGTGCATCTCGCATACCGTTACAAGGTTGTGCTCCGGATGTTGTGTGATAGTTTCGATGACCGATTTTTTGGGGATGGCTAAAGTAGAGGTGCCAACATTTAGAATTTTAGAGGTACGTAGCTGCCCCAGCAAAAATACCACGGCGATACGGCATATTTGCCGTATAAGTAGAAGTGCCGCATGCCGCATAAGTGTTGTATGCCGTATGAATACCGTATGCTCACTGAGCGAGTATAAAGATGATTTATCAATCGGTGGATTAAAAAGTGATTCATGTTTACAAACACTAATTTACTATTAACTACCGGTAATACCATTATATCCGGTCAGTGAATATTACAATAAATTTTTAATGATAGATAATATTTAGAGAGTTACTATTTTCACCCCCACTTTTGCTAATTCCACCCCAAATTTTAAAAAAGTGCTCCGGAAGAGGTATTTTTATTAAGTAAACTCTTGTTTTGATCTTAATAAAAGTTGTCCATCAGGCCTTTCCGGTTCTAATGATAGTAAAATCATTTAAATCGGACCAATAGTTTTTTTTTTAAAAAGTAAATATAAGATAACTAACTTCAGACATATATATTTTAGGAACTACTGGTCCAATTTTAATGATTTTACTACCATTAGAACCGGAAAGGTCTGTTGAACAACTTTTATTAATATAAAGATAAGGATTTACTTGCACTTTTCGATATTTGGGGTGAGGATTAGCAAAAGTGGGGGTGAAAATAGCAATTCTCTATTTATAATTGAATTATTAAAATGGTAACCTAAATACTGCAAAAGCATACATTGTAATAAAGACAACAACACATGGTGTTTGGCATGTGATCCCGACAAGCAAAATGAGAATATTAATGATCGCATCAGAAAATTTCAGCTTAGAACCATGGGAATGCAATTGAACGGATTACCATATAAGCGCTCGTGGGCGCTATTTTGGAATCAGATCTTTCAAAAATAACTTATATGTTCTCTACATTAGCGTCCCGAATTAACGCGCATCCTAATGTAGCACATAATTTATATAAATGCAATTACCCAAAAACGTGCAGTTAGTGCAGGCCAATTAATTAGCGCAGATGGGAGTTATTTTGACGGTATCTAATGTTAAAGAATTGGCAAAATAAGATTTGAGTTATGTATATTCAGCAATTTGGTTGGATGGTATATGAAAATCGATTATAATTGTGTAAAGCGCGTGAACCATCTCGTACAAAACTATTGATTTTTTGTGCTTGAAATTTAATTGGGCAGAGAAATTTTTCAGGGTAGTAACCATACCACATTGCAACATAACCTCGGGTAGAACGACCTCTACGTCATAGCCGTAATGCCGTAACAGGTAAGTAGTCACTACTCTGAAAAATGTCTGCATCATTAGTACTGATCGTCACTTATATCACGTACAAATTATTAATAAGAATAAAAATTTCAAAACTTTGAGCGAAGATATCTTGACAAACATCTAACCAAATTCGATAATTATTTGAATTCTATGATTCATAAGGTCGAGAGGGTGATTTGGCGAATTGCAAGTATCTCGTGATCCCGTGATAAAAATCGAGACGATTCGAATAGTACAAAATTCGTTTGATTTCGATCACTAGGTCACGAGATATTGGCATATCAAATTTTTTAAAAAAATTATATATTTGATTTGTCAGGGTTTAATCTGTCAAGAAATTTAACAGCATGGCTAGTTGGAATAAGAATAGTATATTTTTTATTAATTATATTGAAGTTAAAAGACAGTTAGAGCATGGTTTTGTAATTATATCTGATATTGGGTATGGTAGTGAGAGGGTGGTTGTTATATTGTTATATTGCATTGCCAGTGGGTGATTAGTATAACAAAAAAAAAATAATAAATTTATAAAAAATTTTAACTATATTAACTATTTAATTATAATAAAAAAATTTTATATCTATAATTTGTATAATAAATTATTATTTTTTCAATATTAAGATAACCTTTTGGCTATATCTTTTTATTAGAAGTATTATTTTAATTACAATGAGAGTACAACTCAAGTTTTGGTTATCTATTTAAGTAGCCCATCTATTATGTTCTACACTAGCCATCATACCTGCAACTTATAGAGAATTATCTATTCAAACTCTCTGATATGATATTAATGAGAATACAACTAGCTACATATGTGACTTTTGATTACCTATTTAAGTAGTTCATCCTGAGTTCTACACTAGCTGACATACCTCGCAATTTAACTAAAAGATTCCCTATTTTAAACTCTCTGGTTTATAACCTTACTTATACCAAGTAGAACCCCCAACTTTTTACCACCCTCATAATAAATTGTATAACTACGGTTGGCCACTGTATACAGTCCCCAGGGTCTTATTCAAGAACTCCATTTTTAAAATTGAATAGTACCCGTGGATACTGTGTGAAGAACCGGGTACTATATTTGGGAAAATATTATATTAAAAGTAGTAAATCAATATAGTTATACCCCCGGGTCTTATTCAAGAAACAGGATGATAAAGATGTTGAATAATACCCGGGTCTTAATCATGGGGTATTATTTTGGGGGGATACTGTATACAGTGGTCAACGGTAACATACTGTTTATATATATATATAAGTTTTTAACAAATAGTATTTTATTAGTAATACTGCTTACTTCACTAATAATTAGTTTACTAAAATTGACTTAGCCAATATCACATAATTAAAATTGGTATTTTATTAGTTGTAGGTATATATTTTTAGTAAATTGACACTTGGCATATTGTCAGCTAAGTGAGCTATTAGTGAAATTGAGTATATACAGTCAGACCTCCCTAAATGCAACCTCCCTAAATGCAACACCTCTCTAAATACATGATAGAAGACTAGCCTCATAATGGGATTTATAGATAAATGCACATTCTTTATTCTGCAATTGCACGCTAATTGTCTGGCCCACTTATAAAAACTCCCTCCATAAATGCAACCACGTGATTATTAGCCAATCAAATTTATCATTTTTAGGCCACTAAAGCCATATTTATTACTTGATAATAGTAACATTAAGATTTTATTAGTGTTCTCTAATTGCAACCCTCTCTAAATGCATGCTCTAGAGCTGGTCCCGACGACTTGCATTTAGGGAGGTCTGACTGTAGTAATTTCTATTTGTATAATACTATGTGTATATATACAGATATGTTTATATTTCAAATCCTGATCATCATAAAACAGCTTTTGAAATTTTAACAAAAAATATTTCTTGTAAAATTTTAGTATAAACTAAAACTCTTTCTAGTCCTAAAGCTAACCCTATCTTTAAACTGATTAATTTTTGCTTAATTAATTTGTATATTATGCGAATCTGTAAATCAATAACATCCATGTATAAACAATATTGTGTTTATATATTTAGTTCTAAAGCTTTATAATAAACAAAAATAAAAATACAAAATAGTTGCAAGAGATATCACACAGGTAACACCGTAATATTTTAATGTAAATGCACCATTTGTTCTATTTCGTTCTATTACAATTGTTGTTATCACATCAGCAAACAATTTATCATATCTCCCCATCTTTCTATATAATTTTACACGATAATCTCGTGTTTTTACATCATTTGGGTTTATTTCTAGTGAATTATTTAAATCTTTAAGTGCTTCTTCATCCTTCCCCAGTTTTTGATAGGTTTTTCCGCGATATTTTAATGTCTCTGCATCATTTGGATAAATTTTTAGTGATCTGTTTAAATCTGTAAGTGATTCTTCGTATTTGTTCATCTTATAATAAGTTATTCCACGATATTTTAATGTTTCTTCTTCTTCCGATTCAATTTCCAGTGATTTATTTAAATCTTCAAGTGATTTTTCATATCTTCTTATTTTTTGATATGTTATACCACGACTTTTTAATCCCCATACATTATTTGGATCAATCCCTAATGATTTGTTTAAATCTACAAGCGATTCTTCATATCTATGTAACTCTCGATAAGTAGATCCGCGAAATGTCAATATATACACACAATTTGGTTCAATTTTTAGTGATTTGTTTAAATCTGCAAGAGATTCTGTAAATCTGCCAATTTTTCTATAAATTTCTCCACGAATCTTCAAT